TAATTTTAAATGCTATCTTAGAAGACTTTAAATTATTTGCGTTTGTTTTTCGTTTTTAAGTACTACTTCACACGAAATGAACAGTAAAATAGAAATATACCTTGTTGCAGCATACATTTCGGCATCACTTTTGTCGATTTCAAATCTCTAGATATTTATTGTATACACTCCTTTTATTACCGTGCAATAATCTGTTGGTCTAATCTTGCTGCGCTTGAATGATGATGATGTGCCACGCCCACTGCCCAACGCCCTCACACACCCGCCCACACACGGACACACATGCACATAGACAAAGCCTTAATTACAACGTGCCAAGAGTTAAGCCGAATATTTTTTGGTGGGCAGGCAAAGAAGAAGACGAATGAATTGCTGCGGCAACGGCAGAGGGTTAAGTGAGGGGGGAATAGATGTGTGGTCTTTGTGGGAGCAAAGAAATTTTCGGGGGGCAACACGTGCGCACATGTGCAACTTCCGTTAAAAATCTATTGCTAACTTTCAACAATTCACAGACACAAACGTGGCCAGACACTCACACACACACATACAGACACACACACGCACACGAAAGGTGCGCGCTTTGGCTGTTTGTGTAAGTGAGTTAGAGTTTCCTGCAGCTGTCGTGGCAACATCCGGTTCCTCTCTCTCGCTTCCCCTCCCCCCATGTCTCGTTCGCCTCCTCCTATCTCCTGCATGACGGCTAAAACACTTATTTGGCTTAAGGCTAGAAACTCGAAGCCAAAAATGGCAATAACAACAAAGGGGCCAAAACGGAGATGGCGGTGGAAGAATTGTAATAATAAAGACTAAGGACTTGATACACTTTCTTGGGAATATATTCAATACCAGAGCAGATTTAGACAAAGCTAAGCCAGATCAACAATATGAAAGGTCTCTGGAGATTTCAAATCTCCGAAAGTGCTGCCAAAAAGTATGCTGCATAAAATGAAACTCTAAAAGTTCTTGGTTTTAATTATATGAAAATGTAAAAAAATTTCAAATAATTCGATTAAAAAGAAGACTATATTGTTAATTAATTGAGTGGACTTAAATCATCTGGAGATTTCAAATCTCCAAAAGTGCTGCCAAAAAGTACTCGGTACTGACTTTAATGCCATGCTTTAAAATCCCTAGAAATGCATATTTATGAGTCCTTTTCAAAGGGAATGCGCCCCTTCGTACGGATTCCCTTTTCCAATATTATTTTTTCGTGTATAGTACATGCATCTGTAATCAACAGACGAAGATAGTAAGTACGGGTGAGTAAAGTAAGTAGTGTGTGCTTAAAAAATTGCACAAAGTTTAAGCTTTGTGTGTGTGTGTTTGTGTGCGAGTCAGTCATGGAACTGTTGCTGAAGTCACGTAATTCAAATAACTAAAGTTGGCGTAAATATGCCAAGCATACAGCACACTCGCCCTCCCGTCCGCCTCTCGTTTCGTTTCGTTCCAGAGGTAGAGTTGAGTTACTGGCAAAAGACAATTGCTCACGCACTTAGTTGCTGTGCTGCCCCGGCTTAAAGTTCATTAATTTCTCTCACTCAGCTTGTAATTTGTTTTAAGCAAACAACAAGACGAGAATGCGCTGTCAAAGGATGCCACCAGCAGCTCTTAATATAGTACTTAGCCTGTCCAAACTGTAGGCATTGGCAAAATAATTAATTCAAATCAAACATAAACTAAATTTTCAATGAAAAGCAATTTTATATTTATGCTGGAATTCTGTGCTAAGGGTGAAGGTAAAAAGAAAACTCGAGATTTTGAAATCTATATTTTTAGCAACCCAAAAGTATGCTGTAAGCTCTTTGAACATCTCTAGCTGATTTCATTCTAACCAACAAATCAGAGATTTGAAATCTCAATTTCCGTAGTCCAAAGGGATACAAGAAAATTATTATATTAAATAAATAAAATTAGTTTAAAATCTTAGCTACTAACACGAGATGTTGTGATTAAGCTTAAATTAAAAGTAATTAGCTTAAAGCTTTTGTGAAACAATAGGTCACACCCTAAGTAATTGAAGCTTTCTCCGACTTAACTTTAAAATCTCGTGGCACTATCTCAAGCTTAAAATCCTGGAAAGGGAGGAGGAGATGAGCTGCTAATTACTTGCTAAGCCTCGCACTGAGCCCTTCTTCTTCTGACCAACTGGAGAAGTGCGCAAAAGGGCGAATAAACATTTCAGTGGCTCAAGTGCAGTTTGGCTTAAGTTCCCCCCATTCCCGAGGGCACTGCGCCTTATGAGCCATGTCAGGATCCCATCCCTGGCACTGGACGTCTGTTGCGTAATTAGTTACCAGATTTGTCTGCGCAATTCTCGCGGCTACTTTATATGTTAATGAGTTTTTGCTGCTGCTGCTGCTGCTGCTGGTCGGTTGGCTGGTTGGCTCTTCTTTTGACACAAATTCCCTTTGTCTTGGCCATGAGTGGATTTGGCAGTCTAGGAGGGCATGGGACAATTGAATTGGAAAACAGCTTTCGCGGCTTACATACATACTGTGCACACTGCAAAATTAAAAATAATACAAGGAGGAGAAGATCAACAATCTCATTCTGCTTTAACTTTCTTGTAAGGAGGGCAACTTTCTTGCTTCTATATTTCTTAAAAGCAAATCAGAGAAAATAATCTCAGCAATAATAATACATATAATATCTAATATTTCATTTGCTTAAACTACTTAAATTCCCTTTGAAAATCAACACTTCTATACATTTTTCTCTTCGTGCATCCACTAACATGGAAGAGCTGCTCTCTGGGGGAAAAGGAAACGCTGGAAATTTCACAAAATATGAAAGTCGCTGTCCTGCTTATCGCACAAATGGCATGGCCAAGGGGAAAAAAGGGTTGCGGGGTGGGGTGGTAGGTCACTGGAAAACTCTGCTGAATCGGCGGCCGCTTTTTCCGAAAGTTCAAATTGCATTTGGCAAAAAGGCAGAAGCAGCAGGGGGAGGCGGCAGCGAAAAGAAAATGTGCACAGCAAAAACCATTTTGATAGGCAGCAAGAGAGCGCAGCGGAGTGGAGTGGAGGGGGGTAAGTAGGAAAAGCGGAAAATGTGTGTATGAGTGGCAACATTTTCTTATCTAAACAATATTGCGACTACTGCACTGGCAAAGCGACAACAACACGAGCAACAGCAACAGAATCGCTTCTATGGCTGATTGAACAAAGTTTGCTTGCATATAATTTGCTTTCGCTGTTGTCATAACGATAGGGTATCCATAGGGTAGTTCTGACAGGAAAGTGCCATGAAAATTTATGATTTTTGTAGCTTCTGAAATCTTGGTAGTTTAAGGACTATTGTATTATTTGTATATGTTTTTCTACGACCAAAAAGTATTTAAGGGTAATACAAATTAAAATTCTCAAGTAGTTCTGACAGGAAAGTGTTTTAAAAATCTGCGCTTTTTGTGGCTTCTGAAATCTTGAGAATTTAAAGACTATTAATATTTTCTTCTACGACCAATAAGTGTTTATTTATATACAAATTAATAACACACGTCATATAATCCATAGAATCTATATAATACCCTTGTTTCTTGCCACCTTTGCATTATTTATTTAAAAACAGGGTATTTATAGGTTGTTGCTGTTATCGTGAAACTTGCTATTTTTTTTCTATACGAAGTTTTGGACTTTTGCACTGCAAATGGAAAAATGGCAACAACATATGCGACCAATGACTGGAACTACACGAAATTGTGCTTAAAATTATGAAAAACTTTAAAAGTTTGAGCGCATTATTCATGATTATTTATAAAAAAACTTGAACTTTCCAGAAGTGAATGTCATTTTAGATCAAGTTTGACCCACAAGTTTGTATCAATGTAAATTAGTAATAGTATTAGTATAACTTTATGTTCAAAATTCAATTCCATCTATCCAACTCAAAAATTCATAGCAATCATAATTCAATAGTAATTTATAATAAAACGCTAATTGACTCATTCAATTAATGCTAATGAGAATTACCTGCAAGTTCAAGTGGTCTGGCAGATAAGAAATAGATAGTGGATGTTTCAACTGGAACCGAGGAACTAGGAACAGCCGAGAAAGTAAAACCAAAACCGCAGAATTGTATTTAAATTGTTTATTTTTGTTTGCTAAAACCTATTTTGTTTTTATCATCTCTTGTTTTCTCTGTTGTTTTGTGGATCTTGTTGATATTTTTTTGTTTTCTTTTTGTTTTTGTTTTGGGAACGGGTAGATTACAATGTAAATTAATTATTTCACAAATTTAACACATTGGTTGGGTTTGTTTTAAGGAGTTGTTTTGGTTTCTCTTCCTTTATTTTGTATTTTTAATATAATTATTATTTGCCCCTCACAACATTTCGGCGCGCCGTCTCCTTTTGAATTCTGGCTATCTCCTTCTTCTGGCGCCCTCTCAAGGTATTTAAAGTGGGTTTAACAAAGTTTTTGTTATTATAACTAATTATAAATTTATAAATTATAAACTTAAAGCAGTTTGTTACCAATTTTGTAGTTTGTAACATACATTTTTCATACGCATTTATTAGAAGATTGCTGCTAGTTTCTGCTGGTTGGCTGCTCAGGTTTCGTTATAGGCTTCTTAGCTTTAGGTTTGTTTGTTGAAATAAATGCGTATGGCTCTGTCTCTTAATAGGAAGCTACTTAAAGTGTACTGTGACAATTTGTAGTTGTTGTTGTTGCTGTGTTTTCTTCTTCTTCTGGTTATTGCTTGTTATTGTTGTGTGGTGTGCTATATAAATTTAATTGTGGAATATTTTTCTCATTTGAATTTCGGACTCCGCATTTCTATGGCGACTCCTGTCAGTGGGATAAACTAGGTGACGGAAAACGGACGACACGCACAGTGGCACACTGGCTGAAAAAGGCTGGGTTCAAACGGAGCCATCAGATCCTTGATCTACACCTTACTCTCTCCCTCTCTCTCTCTCTCCATTTCTCTTTCTCGTTCTTTTAATGAGGAACATCTTATACACAAACGACAGTCAGGTCATCATAAAAACGGTTGTCAGCTGATTTATATATGTATATCTCATTGTTCTTGTGGTTTGCGAATGAAAAAAAATATAGGATGGATGTGTGCAGGTGTGTATGTGTGTGTGTTGAGGGGAGGTGGTCTGTGGCTGCACTGTGACGGCCTCTAGCCGATTATCAGCCCGCAGCCAAGTCTGAAGTTGTTCTTAACGTGATTTATGCGTCCGCTTAGGGCGAATGTAAATGGCAATGGATTCAGACGCTTCTCCAGGACACCAGAAATGAGCCAGTTGGAATCGATTGCGCCTAAAAACGAGCAAAGTTGAGAATATATATATCTGGGTAAGTACAAAAGCTAGCCAGCTTACCCTTAAAGACAAGATCGGCCTTAGGCAGATCAATCTGATAGGACAACGTGGCCACTGACTCCTGCATGCGCAGACTGGTCTCCACCTCCACACCGATCTGCAGCTGCTCGCTGGCCTTCTGATAGTAGCACGCATGCAGACCACTCTGCCCCAATGTTCCCGACCACACCGAGTTGCCGACCGTATAGCGGCCGACGGCGGAAACAAGGGCAATTTGACGGCCGGGAACATTTGGGCCGAACTGATAGGCCAGCTCGGCACCCAGGGCGAGGGCTGGAGTGACTGACTGCAGATATTGGCCAACGATCACACCGGAGTTGGTGAATATGCTGGGATTGGCCACTGTCAACGAGGCGGTGAAGTCGTTGCCACGATAATCGGTCGATATTTGCGTGGCAGCCATTTTGGAGTCCTGGATCTGTGGATTGGATATTCAGGGATGTGATATGAGCTCTGTAGGCTGTATGGAGAAGCACTGCACACTCATACCTGGGCGGCAAACTTGCAGCGCACACGCGGCGTAAACTGATGAATGACATTGGTGTTCAAATTGCCCGACGGATCAATGTCGCCAAGGAGAACGGGAAAGGCCTCTGTGGGGCCGTACTGCTTGGTGCCCACATAGGTGGCACAGAACCGGTACCCGCTGGGCACCGTATTGCTCATGTTGATGGAGTGCGACACCTGGAAGTGGTTGCTCAGGCCCTTGTTCAGCATGATTTTGGCGCCCTCAAAAGTGACGGCCTGTATGTCTGTAATAAAAACATTGCAACATTATGAGAATGTCATGGAAAGGCGGCCACTGCTGGCCTGATAATACATAATCACAGATGGGCAGCGGGGGGGGGACGAGCAAAGCACAAGAAAAAGAAAAACACCAGCACCAGCACTACCCATCTCCCTCGCACACACATGTTGTAGGTTATGTCATCAGTGAGGGACGAGATTCGGCACTCGACACACTCAGAAGGGCCCGGCGGCCAACTGGTGACTGAAGTCCACCTACCTTTGCACTTCTTGTGCAACTCCTCGACGGTTCCGGGATTCTCCAGCTGCGTATCCTTGGCCGCCGCACCGAAATCCGCCAGGGAGGAGGTGCTGCTGCTGCCGCCTCCGGTGGCGGGGGAGGCAGATTCGGCGGGCAGGGGCGCCGGTTCGGGCAGTCCCAGGCCCAGGCCGCCGGCGCCAACGCCGCCACTCGGACCAGATGATGCCGCTAGCACGTTGCCCATTTCTATGTAGTGAAAATATATGAAATTTCAAGCTGCACGCGCTAAATCGTGCTTTTTTTTTGTAAGTTACGGCAAATCAGCGTGACCAGCTGGATGTTCGTGAGAGTGTGCCCGAAAGGCGATACTCGATAAAATCTTAAATAAGGCAAAAGCCCAGCAGGGTTGCCAGACTGGTCTGATTTAAGCTTATCCGATTATTTTCAAAAATTAAATAAATTAAGAAATTTAGGCAAATACAATACAAATTATGACGTATAGAAAAAAGCCATTATTTTTGTGTTTTATTATCTAGCTGCCAGATAACTTTTAGAATTAAAAAGTTAAATTCAATGAAGAAATAAATACAAAAACTCAATTAAAAACAATTTATTTTAAAAACTTGTTTCAATCATAAAAAAAACACACACACACAAAAAGCCCATTATTTCACATTGGTCCACTTTACTTTTAGAGATATGCCTTTAAAATACATCAGTTACTAAGGACGAACGCAGATTTCTTGTAATATCTGCCAAGTATAATTTGGTTTTACCTTGAAAATGCATCAAAAATTGCGTAAATACGTAAAGTGCACTATTATCTGAACGCCGTGATTAGATTACTATACTTACCATATTGCACATACAGGGAAAACGATCAGGTTTCGTATTAATAAAAACGTTTATATTTCAAGTTCAAGTATTAGTATAGGTTTTCCGGTCATTTATATGTAGAGTTATGCGATGTATGAGTTAGGAGCACAGCAACTCGGAAACTACGTATCTCTCGTGTGACTCGCTGCCAATCAAAGGGGTAAAAAAAATAAACTAACAAAAAACAAAAAATTTGTTTAACCAATTTCGGAACTAAAGGTGTTTTGACCAATTCCCGTGAGTCAACTAACTAACATTAACTTAGGAGCGAAACTAAGAGTACTGTATAAATGTTTTGGTTGGTTTGGTTTCAGCTAAACTAGGCCATTAAACAAGATTATAAGAGTCAACAAAGTGGGTATGGGCAGGGGGATGGGGACAGAGTTGTGGCCTGGACCTGGACTCACCGATAAGGTACACATAAATGTACAAGGGGAGACGTAATGAATGACGGGACAGGGACTGGAACAGCGACAGTGATATTGACAGGGACAGGGGTAATCAACAACAGGACGAATTCTCCGGCTCGGCCACCACGAGATTAAAGTCGAGACTGTTGGGCCTCGCGAAGCCCGACTTGATGCCATCCCAGCCATCCTCGGCCTTGTACTCCCCGGACCGAATGCGGGCGTACACCTCCTGGGTGACCATGCGGAAGGCCTCCTCCACATTGGCGCCCGTTCTGGCCGATGTCTCAACAAAATGCAGGCCATACTGCTTGGCAAACTTCTGGGCTTCCTCCGTGGTTACCTCTCGGTGGCCGCCGGCATTGATCAGATCCAGCTTGCAGCCAACCAGCGCGAATACGGGTCGATGGGGCTCAATGTGACGCTGGGCTTCCATCATCCAGAGCGGTACGTGCTCAAAGCTGGCATGGTTGGATATGTCGTACACCAGCAGGACACCCACCGAGTTGCGGTAATAGGACTTTGTGATCGACCGGAAGCGCTCCTGACCGGCGGTGTCCCATAGCTGAAGTTTGATCTGTGTACCGTCCTTCATCTCGATGAGGCGGGCAAAAAAGTCCACTCCGACTGTGGGATCGGAGAGCTGTAACAACACGTACGGATATTAGAACATGGATAACAATGTGCAAAACTAATATAAGTATTAAATTCACAATTGTTTCGTGATTTCCCTTTCTTCGCTATCTAAAATGTCATTTCAAATTGCGCGCTCTTTCAATGTGGCAACCCTGTTCCTTGTACAGCCTCGTGTGGTTGTTGTTATTGGCTGTGCGCCTGCATTATCAGGCGACAGCGCAAGCACACACACACGCACACACAAGGTGACTAAGGCAGCAGCATCTCGACGACTACTCCCTTTCCTTTGTCTATTCTTTGTTGATACTTAATTATGTAATCGAAGCATTAACTGCACTGACCGCCGATCGGCGGAGATCGCACTTGACCCACAATAGTACAGTGGGCCGCAACGCATACGCACCTCGGCAAACTTGCCGTCTGTGAAGAACGTGAGCAGCGAACTCTTGCCCACGGTGCTGTCGCCAATGAGGATCATCCGAAATTGGTACTCGAAAATTGGCTCCACCATGGCTGCGGCCGAGCTGCGGAAGCTGGAGCAGGTGTTTCAATAAACCAGACACTGGAACTATTCTCAGACGCTTCGGCGGATGCGGATTGAGACGCAAATTATTCCGTCCGCTGTGTGTCGGCCGACTCGGTGCTGCCAGGCTGCGGGTGTTTCCCCTTGTCGGATTCCTGGTTTCCGTAATGCTTGTTTCCCGGCCTCCGCGATGCTGGTTGATTGTAAATCGGAAATAAAATATCAGGGGACTCAACTGCAGCCTTTTGTTTTGTTTTGTGTTTTTTTCTAATGCGAAAATGCGACTGTGTGAGTGTGTGTGATAAAGACAGTGCTACCAGACAGCATGCAACTATCGATAGCTACAATAGTCGATGATATATAAAGAATATTTCAAATGTCAGAATCTAATTAAACGGCTTAAAATCAGTTATATTTAAAAATATATAAAACTTGTGTTATAGAAAAAAAAAAAAACATTTCAAATAAAAAAATATATATATTAATTTCTTTAATGATTATAATTATACGTCAGTTCACTTTTTTTGGTTTCTGATATTCGCATTCTTTAAATCAATATCGATATTTTTATATAAATTTAATTGTTTTACAAATCAACGTTTATATTAAATGAAAATCTTAAAAATATATTTTTTTTCTCAATTCTTACAAATATATAAATATATACTATATTAAATTTTTTCTACAAATACTAAATTTAAAATTTGCGAAAATAAAGATCCATTGCTTAAAATATTTCAAGATTATATAGGAGAATACATATATTCTTGTTTTGCAATTGAGATTTGAGATTGCGGCTAAAAATATCGGCTAACTATCGCGATATATTTCCGATATTGAACAAGTTTAATCGTGCTGCCGCCGAAATCTGGCAACACCGGCCAACTGTCAGTCTGACAGCTGTTTGATAGTAGATATATTTGTACGTATATTTTTACGTTTGTTTTCCGTGGAAATTGTTCGTATTTCTCGCACACAAATGTTCAGACATAACGCCGGGCAATCGGTAGCAGCTTCGACAAACACTCGCCCTCTAACATCCAGCAGACAGCGAGGCAGCTAGTCAAACCTAATAGTAATCCCAGTTATTGGAATCCCATCCCGATCCGATCCGACTCTCTGTTGCCATACCACCCACCACCCACCTCCCCTCCCGACTCCGTTCCGCACTGTACCGAATCTCTGTCTCCCTCTCCGCCGGTTTCCAACGTGCGCGCAAGGTTACGGAACAAATATTATTACCGTTAATTATAGCTGCAGGCGGTGCGCATATAGGAGATATCGCTATATAGCCGCATAGATGTTCAAGTTTGTGCTGAACGACGCCGCCAGCTACGTGCGCGCCAATGTCCGCGAGTTTAGCCTGAACGCACTGCGCCTGCTGCCGCAACTGCCGCAGCTGAGTCCATACGATGTAAGTGCCGTGGGGAGCACAAAAGGGTGGCCTGGGGCAGATACCTAGTGCCAGGTGCCTGGTGCCCGTGGGATATATATTCGTATAGTCCACAATTTGTATATCTAAAAACATACATACATACATATGTACATATATCTTTATTTTTATGCCTTTACTTGTACGTTCCCCAAGAGTCCAATGCAGTTCCTAGCTTATTTCGTTATGTAAAATTCGGGAATTGTATCTACATTTTTATATTTAATATGAATTTCCCAGATAAATGTACAAAATTGTTATCAAATTACCAATCCAAATCTCCCTTTTACTTAGCATAATCCTTGGTTTTGAAATCCCATATAAATCCCATCCAAAAGTATGCAATTTACCTTGGATTCCTCCTGATCTATCTATCGCAGGTTAACCTGGTCCTGAGGGAGAACGAGTTCGTGTACAACTTCCCCGTGGAGGGGATCATCCGTAGCTATGAGACCAATCAGCTGGGATCGAATTCGCCCTGCGAGGACTCACGGACTGAGGCCAGCCTGCTCCATCGCAACGGCTTCATTTGCGGCATTTTCGATGGCCATGCCGGGGCTTCCTGCGGCCAGGTGGTATCCAAGCGGCTGCTACGATACGTTTCTGCAGCCACGCTGCCGCGCCAGGTGCTGCAGGCACAGATGAAGGAGGGCTGCAGCAGCCAGTCGTTCCTCAAGTGCCACAACGACAATGTGGACTTTGTCAGCGAGATCAGGCCCATCTACGAGGCCAGCTTTCAGAAGTACATTAAGCAGCTAAGTGAGACGCCTCAGCGGGACGTGACCAGTGAGCTGGTACACGCCTTCTTGCAGCTGGACGAGAACCTGTCCGAGGAGGCGCTGGCCCACAGCGATGTGCGCACTATGAGTGTGGCGCTCTCAGGTGAGGAGTCTACGACTTACTTGTCCACCTTACACAGTCTTCACTTGGTTCTCCTCCCACTTTAGGAGCCGTTGCCTGTCTGGTTCATCTGGAGGGATTGCAGCTGCACGTGGCCAGCACCGGTGACTGCGGCGCTGTGCTGGGCGTTCTGGATCCACAGACGCAGCAGTGGCACCCAAAGAAGCTCAACACCGAGCACAATGCGGACAACATGTCCGAGGTTCGTCGCATACTCGCCGAGCATCCCAAGGACGAGCGGGAGACAGTGATCCGGAACGGCAGACTGTTGAGCCAACTGGCGCCACTGAGGGCCTTTGGTGACTTCCGCTACAAGTGGTCCGTGGACACTATGCAGCAGAAGGTGGTGCCCATGTTTGGGGAGCACACGATGGCGCCCAATTATTACACGCCCCCGTACCTGACCGCCCGCCCCGACGTTCAGCAGCATGAGCTGGGCCCCAACGACAAGTTTCTAGTCATAGCCAGCGACGGCCTCTGGGACTTCCTCTCGCCTAGCGAGGTGGTCAGCCTCGTCGGCGAGCACATCAACTCGAAGAAGATCCTCGAACCAATGCGCCTGCCCGAGGGCGACATAACGCTGCAGGAAATCTCCGATCAGTTGGCCGAGCGAAAGTCAGTATTCCTGTTGTAATTTCGTTAAAACGTAACAAATAATTTTGTTCCCTTGCCAGAGCTGGCCTCACCCGCAAGCCCGTCGACCAGAACGCGGCCACGCATCTCATCCGAAACGCTTTGGGTGCCACGGACTATGGCATCGAGCACTCGAAGATCTCGTACTATCTGTCGCTGCCCAAGGATGTGGTGCGTCTGTACCGCGACGACATCACCATCACCGTCATCTACTTTAATTCGGAGCACATCGCCCATCAGCTCCAGCAGGACGGAACGTCTTCGAAGGGGGACACTGCGCCGGCAGCGTGATCCCCGTGAGAACCCAGTATGTGTATATTTAACGAGCTAACCTTCAGCCTAACAATCGCCTAGCCTAAGTGTTGCGTTTAAGTTTGTTTATCCGCCAACGGACCTCGGACGACTGTCGCCGCGCCAAATAAATCTCCACGCGGAAAATCACAAAATGCAAGTTTGGCTAACAGTTTCCAAGGCAGTTCAAAAAGAGAAGAACCAAGATGAAATGCCCTGTCACCCCTATGTAGAGGCGCCTCTTGACCAGGGGTTGAAGATCATTGGCGAGCAAGCGTGAGGTGCTCACTCTTGACGAGAAGCATCTGTTTCAAGAGAACGCTCTGCTGCGTGGTGTAGTTCCTAGCGTTGTCCTGCCTAAAGCTTAACTAAGTTCTTAAGAAGCTAGAAAAGCTGGGAGAAAAGGGAGGTCATTTCAAGTTTGTCGCTTTCAATTCTTATACACATCTGAGCCTCTTCTTCATCACGGCTTAGTCTTCCCCGTCAGGTTCTAGGATTCTAGGAACTGATCATTGTGCTTCTGAAAGTCCAGGGGAATCTGATGCTGGCCAATACAAACTTGGAACTGCTGTGTCTGCAGGCAACCCTCCAAGAAATCCTTTATCTTCAGAACGAGCTTCAAGCGGGACTCGGCCAGGTCAAGGATACGGATCAGCAGAGCTGAAACAGACGCTTCTCAAGAGTCGACCTCAAGCTTGTGACTCAATTCAACCAGGTGAAAAAAAGCAAGTTCCTCAGTTAACCCTTATACGGAGAGCGGGAACGTCTTGCCTGGCTTGGGAGTAACTCAACCCGCCGAGTATCCACGTATCCATAAAACAACCACCTGTCACATCACTTTCGAGAATCGATTTATTTTACTTACTATCAATTACAATTGTTTACAACTCTGGGTTATGTGTATATGTATAATATATACATATATATGTATGTATATATGTACGCAATTTGGATGAAGGTATTTCCGACCTTGGTGCGGGCTGTGGGCGGGGCAGGGGTAAAGCTAAGTGAAGAACGCGATCTTGCGAAACTGGTAAACGATACGAGTCCTAAAATCCTATACACGCAAAAAAAAAACTAAGCAACTACGCTGGAATCCGGAATTACGGTGGTTATCCGGGTTCGGGCACAAGGAATCGGGGAACTGGGGCGGAGCAAACTCTAATCTTTGCCATCCTGATCGGCCGACTCCTGCCGGCACACACAGTTGAGGAACTCCATCTGGATGTGCGTGATCTGAGTCTTGCTGAAGCACTGGATCTTCTTCTTGAGGAAGTCAAAGAACAGATCCAGCTCATCCCGTTTGGCCAGCGCCTGGGCCACCTGCTGGGCCTGCTGGTGCTGCAGATGGTCCTCCTCCTTGACCAGAGTGCTGCTGGTGCTGCTGCTCGCCGCACTGACCGCCAATGGAGTGGCGTTGCCATTGCTGTTCCCGGAGCCGCAGCTCAGCGAAGGCAGCTGCAGAATCGTGGCCGTTGGCGTGGATGTGAAGGATGTGGTGTTGCACAAGGCGGCTGCCGGCGTTGTGGTCACTGTGGCCGCATTCAACGACACTGCCGGCGTGCTGGAAATGGTTACACTGGTGCTGGTCGCCTCGGTAACATCCACCAGCGAAATCTGTTGTGCTGACACGGACGAGGAGGAATCGTGACGATTCGAGGCGCCACCGTTAACGCCCGCCGCCGTGGTGGTGACCAGCGTGAGATTCTTAAGCTTGCCATCAACCAAAGAGCCGCCGGCAAGGACACTATTGGATGCGGAGGCCGTAGCGCTCTGGAACTGATGCTGGCTGGAGCGCACTGGCTGCGGCTCAATGTCCGCTATGCAAAAGTCGTGGGCATCGATGTAGTGGAAGCTCTTGCCATGGGTCACGTCACTGCCACCGTCCACGCCGTCACCAACGCCCATTTCGCAGTCGACATGGGCTCCGCTGGCTTCCTCGTACAGGCAGACCTCCTCGTAGTCCACCTCGGCGCCGGTGGCTCCGTCCTCGTCCAATTCGTGCTTGACAATGTCCACCACATGGCCGTCGTGATCGACCACATCGTCCTCGTCGTCCACATCGTCGACCACGTCGTCATCGTGGGCAATCTGCGAGAGCTCGATGCTGGAGATGCTGCCGTCGTGCTGGGATTGATGGTGGTGATGATGGTGATGGTGCTGCTGATGGTGATGGTGCTGCTGGTGGTGGTGGCCATGATGGTGGTGGTGGTGATGGTGCTGCGAAACAGTGTCATCCGCAACGCCCTCCTCGTAGGCGGTCAGGATGAAGGTCTCTGCCTCGTCGCTGACCAGGGTGATCTGCGAGGCGCCGTGATGCGAGGACAATGTGGCTGTATCGTGATCTGACTGCCCGTCATCGTCAACCACTTCGTCATCATCGTCGTCCTCGTCGTGCTGCTTCAAATGCAGCATCGCCCCAATGGGCAAACTGTTGCTGGAGGCACCGCCACCGCCTACTCCTCCTCCTCCTCCGCCACCGTCCCCGCCGCCGTTGCCCGCCTCATAGCCACTGCTCTGGGTGGTACGATGCGACTTTAATTTGGGCTGGTACACCGTTGAGAGGAAATCCAACTCCTTGGCGTATCGCCACTTGGATAGCCTTCCTTCGATGCACTTGGGCGTGCGCAGTCGGTACTGGTGGTACGTGTCGCGCAGGTTCTTCCACTTGCGCCGCACTTCCTGGACCGTGTACTTGTCTGGAAGAGGGTAATAAGGATTCTTTCTCAGTTTAAATATTCGTTTTTAAGGAAATTAATCTTTAATCGATCGATCGATTAAACCCGTTACCAAACCGCCTAAAATTAGGCAATCTATTGCGGCCAACCAATTTAGAGAAATTTGAATGGTCGATTTAATAGAATTGAAGAATGTTTTTAGAGAGGGACAAAGAGAAATCCCCGCCAGCAAAAGAAGGACTCTAATACTCACTGCCTATCTGCTGGGCCACCTCCTGCCAGCCATTAAGGACGTCGGAACGGCGACGCTGGTTGGGCTGGAGCTTGTAGTTGTACAGGGCCGGGTTCTGGCGCACCAGATTGATCAGCGTGAGGATGTCGTCGGTGGGCGCGTTGTCCTTGTGGTAGCGCTTGCGCTCTGACGTCGACGAGGACATGTTGCTTCGCTGGCTGCTGCTGTTGCTGCTGCGGCTGTTTCGGTTGCTTCTTGGGCGAGTAATGGTGGTGCTTGGCGCGGATGTGGACCAGGTCACATCCAATTGTTTTGTTTTTGTTTACCAAGTGGAAAAGAGCGACTTTCGGGTAATTGCTCTCGGCGAGATCCCCACACACACAAACGCGCTTGCAGCCACAAACACTCACACACACAGCACACACACTGAGGCGGACAAAAACACAGGCGCACACACACACACACACACTGGCGCAGCGAAAGCACTCGACACTCGCACCACGGCAAGGATAGCGAGTGGGCAGCAGGATCAACTGCGTTTCCGTCTCGCGATCAGAAGCGGAGTCAGAAGCTTAGGTTCCCGCACCTTTAGCCGATTGCCCTTTGGAAATAATTAAAAACAAAATTTGCAATTGATGCTTCGGTATAGTGTGACCGCGGCTGGACAGTTCAAATATACCACGAGGCTTGCAATATGTACTAAATAAGCCACTAGGTGGAGAACTTCGATGCCACAAGCCTTGTTTATTCGATATATTAATAAATTAAATTAAATAACTTGTTCATTTCAGTCAGAAGTTTGCGACGCAGACATTTCCGACCCTATAAAGTTTATATATTCTTGATCATCATCAACAGCCGAGTCGATCTAGCCATATCCGTCTGTCTGAATAAAACTTTGCACATACCATAGTCTTCTGAATACTTTCGCTTATATATATGTCTGAACAGGCCGGATCGGACGACTATAATATTATTAACCCTTAAAAATTAGTGGTTCTTATTAATTAATAGGAAAATAATACATAATTATATTTATTGTCCAACACTAGTTCGATTAATTTCAATCGCGAACCACTGGCTCGCAGCCCTGGCTGCGGTGTTCATCGATAGCTGGTGCAGCCCTCGTCGCTGTAATTATAATGTGCATTTGTTTTTGTCCACCAGAATTGTCCGATTTTCCAGTTGCATTATTTGTTTTGATACGATGAGAGCGCGGTGGTAGCAACGTATAACGGTGTAGGTGTCCGGTGTCCTCGCGCTTATGTTCGTTTCGTATTTGTTTGCACGAAAAGGAGGTTTGGTGTTGAGGCCGTCAGCCAAAAAACAAGACAGCTGATCACAGACTATATCTTCTCACACCTGCTACGATTAAGGGAGATTTATTTACAAAACTGGCCTGCAAAAGGGTTTTCGGCGCCGTCACCCTGTTTATATAACACCAAGTTGAGTGAAGATGGCCCTGCCAAGGAATCTGGTATCCAAGATCTGTAAGTAAAGCGCAATGGCCGAAAGTACCGTTGTGGGAACTACACGCACACACACCTACTACCTGGGAGGTGGATGTGAGTGTGCGTCGTGTCGCACATACATACATACATGCATACCCCTCACACAATTGTTGTTGCGTTGCACCTTCTGGACATTAAAAGCCATTAACAGACGTTCTTATGGCCAGCATTGGTCCAGCGGATGCACTGCAACCGAGCCACCAATAGGAAATTGCCCATGGGTCATCCGGAAAGCCAGCTAGTTACCTTACCACTAACACTATTTACCTTGTAATAACGCCAGACAGCCGTTTGCATAGGTGACGAATTGCACAGATGCCCGTAGATACATATCTATAATAATGGAGCAGTAGCTCACAGCTCAGTTCGTATTTACTTATTGGGAAAACCCCATCTGGCCCCTGCCAACATCTGCTGGCAATATTTTAGCAGTAAGGTAATCCAATAGCCAGGCACAGGAAATTACGCTGTAACGGCCGTACACAGGTGACGCTATTCAATCACACAGAGCTCTGTTACCTTTTTATGTTGAATTATAAACAAAATTACAGAATCGAGACTCGTGACCAAGTGGTCCCAAAGGCGACAGTAAAACGAAACTATCGTTATTTGTTAACAAACGGACTCGGAAAATAATAATCAAAAAGAAAACTTTTTCTTTTAAGCTAATCTTTTTTAAAAGCCCCTTTCAACATCCTTTTGCAGATGACATCAAGGCTCATGATAGCAGGGTCACTAGCCTGGACCTGGGCGAGACTGGCCGGGTGCTGGTCACCGGTGGAGAGGATCGCAATGTCAATCTCTGGGCGATTGGGCAGAATGAGTGCTTCATGGTAAGTGGAGCTCAAGTTACTCCTTCTGACCTGCTACTTATCCTTTGCTTTGTGTTTTCTTTTTAGTCTCTGACAGGCCACAATCGCTCCATTGACTGCGTCCGTTTCGCGTACAGGGATGACTTTGTTTACTCCGCGGACGATATTGGAATTATCCGGCGATGGGACTTGAATGCCCAGAAAATTTACTCTACGCTTAATGGGCACATGAAGAGTGTCCGTACTCTGGACTTTAATCCCTCCGGGGAGTATGTGGTGTCCGGTAGCAATGACACGACCGTGAGGTGGGTGATCCTTCCTATAGCTCTGGTTCAGAGTGAGACGGCGCTAGCTGTCTTGGGTGACTCTTTCACATTGAAGTATATCTTAAACCAACATCCATATTTCAGGTTGTGGGACGTGCAGAATGAAAACAATTGCATTCGAATTTGCCGAGGCCACATGTCGCATGTAAACTCTGTGAAATTCTCACCAGACGGCCTCTGGATTGCCTCCGCTGGCCTGGAGGGCTCCATTCTCATCTGGGACATACGAAAGAGCAAACAGATCATGGAGTTTATAGCCGAGTCGCCGGTAACAGCCATCACCTGCATTCAGTTTCATCCGTTTGAGTTCCTGTTAGCCGCCGGCCGTGTGGACGGAACCGTGTGTATTTACGATCTGGAGCAGCAGCAGCTCGTGTCCCAGACCACACACTTTTATGGCCAAAGCATCAAGTGTATTACGTTCAGGTAAACCTTAATTTTGATAATTTACCCAGCAGCTGCATTTGTTTTTTTGTTTCTTTCAGTGAAAATGGCGAGTGCCTTTTCGTGGGCAGTGCATCCGGCATTTCCGTCATCGGCTGGGAGCCCGATCGTGAGCTGGACCATATCAAGAGTACCTGGTCCTCGTTGGGCGATATGAAAGTGGTCAAGAATAAGCTGGTAAGTGGGGTCCTCATTTGCCTGCCTCGAAAGTTTCTTAGATTCGTAATTTTCGCTGCAGATCTGCGGTTGCCATGAGGACGACACCGTCTCTATCAACACCATCAGCCTGGACCGTGTGATACCGTTTTATCAGCCGCCCAACGCATTGCCCAACTTCAAGCACAACTCGACCAACCGGAAGAGCTTCACGCGCGGCAACCAAAAGTTCCGGCTGTCGCTGGGCGGCTCCAAGCCGGCCCAGGTTCGTGAGGAGCACGAGGACAATAAGAGTGAGCTGTCGTCGCCCAACTTGAGTCTGGAGGTTGTGAATGAGGCTGTGCTGGAGTCGGCGGAGACATCGCCGATGTCCTCGCTACCGCCTGCTCAGCTTCCGGCAATGCCGCCGGGCTCCTCGTCCTCATCGGCAGACCTTGCGTATCAAGGCAGCTTTTATGGCCATGGCGAGGCATCGCTGAGGCACGGCAAGTACTCGCGTGGAGCCGACAGCCTCACATACAACATTGAGGCCAACTATGGTGGCAATTATGGCATGGAAAGCCAGAGCCACATCCGCTTGCAGTCAATGAACGGGCCCAGTTCGCTTCACAACTACAACATATACTCGCTGGGGAAAGACGAGGACTCCGATGCGGAGGCGGGTGTGCAGCAGTTAAATGACAGCAACCCGCCGATACTCACCAATTACGACAACTACGAGATGGCCGAGGACTTCCCCGTCAATCAGAACCTCAACTACATGGCCAATCCGTACAAGAGTGCCTCCATCGTGGCAGCTTCCTCCACCATCAACGCCTCATCCAAGTCGATCAAGAAGACCACGATGACCGGCCTGCACAAGCGGACAACAGGCAGCATGGCCAGCACGAAGCAAAGCTCGGCCAGCAAGCTCAGCCAGGTGTCTTCCGTCAGCTCCATGGAGCTGCACAAGCTGGATGACAATATGGTACTGAAGAAGTCGTCCTCATCGAACGTGGTCAATAAGAACAAGCGGCCCATGGGGGGTGCCGCCGCCCAAAGCCAGTTCTACAAGGAGAACAGTCAGCAGCAAAAGAACATCAGTGTGGAGATCATAACGAAACCACCGATGCGATCCCGGACCACCCTAGACATGCGCTCGTCGCAGCAGCAGCAGGCCAAGGCGCAGGAGAAGTCTCACAACGCTCATGTAAGCCACTCAGAGTTATTTTAGTCTTCTTCACCTTAGCTTGCTATATTTGCTTTCCATTTTCAGCAGCCACTGAGCAATCGAATCACGGCGGATGATCATCATTACGACTTTGATGCTCTTTCGAGGCCGCACGAGGCTGTGCTGAAGGAGCTGAGCAATCGCCAGTCTAGCCTGGATTTGTTGCGGAATGCCACGCGGTGAGTATGAGTCCGGCAGACAAAAACTTTGTTTATGATATTGAAAAAATCTTCACAGATCGCACGATGTTCTGGGCGCCTTAAGGCAGGCAAAGAACTGCGGCAGATCCATTTTCATAGACCTACTTGGAGCCATACTAGAAAAGCCGTAAGAATTGCTTATTTTCCTCGAAAAATAGTATCAATTATAACACTAGATCCTCTCACCCTTGCAGGTCATCTTGGAACTTGGATTTCTGCATGTTTGTGTTGCCAGAGCTTTACGAGCTGCTACAGAGCCAGCACAAGTTGTGAGTAAAACAAAACACATAATGAATTCAAATTAATTACAAATCTTAACCGTTTAGCCACTTTACACGTGCCTGCGATACACTTCGTATTATTCTGTCCAACTTCTTGCCCATCATTCAGGAAAACCTCGACTCCTGGGCATCCAATGGCTTGGGTGTGGATGTGACGCGCGAGGATCGACAGAGGAAGTGCGCCGAATGCCAACGATGGCTGCTCCAAATCAAGAATCTGCCTGAAAGCATCCATTTCGGTTCCACGTTGACGCAACTGCAAAACACTATTGTTTTCTAAGCTGTAAATTGTCGTGAGGTCGTCAGCTCTGGAAGGGTACGACGGAGAGAGGATCCGGGGAGAAGAAAAACCACCAGCTTCCTAAAAACCTGCTTTGAACACAGTGTTGTGTGGGGAGTTACGCCTCATTTGTTGTCGCTCTAAGCTGCCAAAACTACGGAATTTTGAAACAAGTAAAAACAAAAAACAAGAAAACAAGAAAACCGATGGAGGAATAGTTTGAGGGGAGCGCGAGCCCGCTCTTTTGCACCCTGTCCTCTTCGTCCAGCATTAACTTAGTCATTAAAAATGATTTCTATTATTAATTTTTGTTATTGAAACTAATTTATACAATTATTATTATTTACCTAATATGTCTTAAGATATAAATTTCGCAAAAACACGTACACCAACCAGTGGAGTCTTAATTATTTTCTTGATAAGGGTTAAGAGTCAATAGTGATAGCATCTACTCCCCAACCCCCAAAGGCACTACAACATCCAAAATATGTAAAAAAAAGAAAAACAGTCTAGTTTATTTGCGGATTAAAGAAACAGTTGACATGTGAAATACTTCTACCACCACAGGATGCATACATATTTATAGAATGATTTGGGTGTCACCCACTCGTCCGTTGTGCATCTTACAGCTTCGCCTTGGAGCTGCTCTTGAGGTCCACATAGGCGCCCGAAATGACCTCCTTGCCGGTCTCCACCACCACGGTGCGGAAGTAGATGCGTGCACCCTCCTGCCACATGTCCACGCGGAGGCTCTGGCCAGGAATCACGGGACCGGAAAAGCGTACCTTGACTGCCTTGAAGAGGGCCGGATTATTGTCGGCGTACTGGGCGAGTACAGCGCGAACGGAGAAGCCCAAGGTGCAGAGGCCGTGCAGGATGGGGGTCTTGAATCCGGCCAACAGGGCCATTTGGGGATCGATGTGAAGGGGATTACGATCGCCGGAAAGGCGGTAAAGCACGGCCTGATTATCGCTTGTCGCGTATTGAACGGACGCGTCCGGCTGGCGCTTGGGTGGCGGGAGCACCGGAACAACACCGGCAATTGGCTCCTTCTTGCCGCCGAATTTTCCGGCGCCGACGACAAAGGTGCTGCTCTGGTTGCGCACCAGCAGATGTCCGCTTTCGTCGAAGGACTCGGTGTTGGTCACGACCACAGCACCGGAACCCTTGTCCATCACGTCGAACACCTGGCCGCTGGTCACCAGTGTGCCGCTGGTGGGCAGATCGTCAACGATCTCCAGGTACTGCTCACCGTGCAAGATGTTGGAGAAGTCCACCTGCTTGCCGGGCAGAGCCTTGCTCATCAGCTTGTCGGTGGACATGGCCAGCAGGAGGCCGGGCAGCACAAAGAACGACGGAATGGCGGCAAAGTCGCCGTCGTTCTCGTACAAGAAGCGCATGTCCTGGGCGTTCGTCACCGATGCACCGATGCCCAACGCGTAGGTGATGAGCTCCTTGCTGTCGAACTCAAAGGTGTCCTCGACGGCCTCACCGCCGCCGGCCTTCAGCTTCTCGAGCACCTCAAGCAGAGAGCCGGACGCGTTGGCGATGGCGTCCAGGTGCTTGGCCTTGGACATATCCGTCACCTGCGACCATACGTTCTTCACGTACTCCGGGGTCACTGCGTCGTCGATGGATGGACGCAGCACGGCGCCCTTGCCGCGCACCGTATGCACCTTGGTGGCCCAGCCGGCGGCGCTCTCGATGTAACTGCCTGTGAAGAAAGGTGCGGTTAATTGGTGGCTCTCAAAGTACATTCTGCTGGAGGTGGACTCTAATCGCGCCACGATAAGATGTGGCGGTATCGGAATAAGCAAAAGCAGGGCTAATCTTAGCAGAAGACCGGAAAACGCTGGTTACTTTTGAACTTTAAAGCTTGCAAATGTGGGACACAATCTCTGGGAGATTAGCGAGATTAGGGGCTCTACCACTCACCATTATCCTCGCAGGACTCGTGGCATAGGTAGGCCACCACCGGAGCAATGAGCTTCGGCTTCAGCTCGTTGAAGAGAATGTCGGGAAGGATGCCCTCGGTCATGCGGCTGGCGGCCGTGGGAATGATCACGTTGCACAGGACATTGTTGCGGGCGCCCTCAATGGCCACCGTGTTGGCCAGACCAACCAGGCCCATCTTGGCCGCCGAGTAGTTGGCCTGTCCGAAGTTGCCGTAAATGCCCGAGTTCGAGGACGTCATGATGATACGACCGTAGTTCTGGCTCTTCATGTGAGGGAACGCGGCCTGGGTGCACTTGAAGCTGCCCTTCAGGTGGACATCGTGAACCAGGTTCCAGTCCTGTTCGCTGGTCTTGGCCAGGCTCTTGTCGCGCAGAATGCCAGCGTTGTTTACCAGGATGTCGACGCGTCCGAAGGCCTTCACGGCGGTCTCAATGACCTTTGCTCCATCAATAACAGAGTTGTAGTCGGCCACCGCCTCGCCGCCAGCCCGACGGATCTCCTCGACGACAATATCGGCGGCGCGCTGCGAGGCACCCTCGCCGGAATGTGTGCCACCCAGGTCGTTGACCACCACCTTGGCACCGCGCTCGGCCAGTAGCAAGGCGTACTCGCGGCCCAGGCCCGCGCCGGCTCCAGTCACCACCGCCACTCGGCCGTCGTAGCGCAGTTTTCCATCGGATGAGGACATGGTTTTGGTTTGGTTTGGTCAGTTCGTCACCGCTCTCAGCTGTGGAATGGAAATGAGAACGCCGATCAGTGGCAGGTCAGCTAAGGCCCAGCAATCGCTGAAATCCCAGCGTAATCTCCGCCGAGATAGGGCTTATCGCTCTGCGCAAGTGTGCAAGTGAGCCGGAGAGAGAGAGGACCCCGAAGAGGCCGCTGCCCGTTGCCCGCTGACATGGTCCAAGTCCACGGTTCATGGTTCAGTTCGTGGGGTGGGCCGATGGCATTCGCACAGATACGAATGTATCTTCCAATGCAGCACGAATACACCCCGAAACAGATCGGAGCGGTCTGGTTACTATCTTTTATTGGCACACTTACGGGTCTTGAAGAGTGTCTTCTGGTTTATGCGATGGGATGGTCTTCCAGCCCGCAAAGATTAGACCGTGCTGTGCTGTGCCGTGCCGCAGGTACAAAGTGCATTAAACCCTGGCCAGATAAGCCTGTTTGCAGGGGGATCGGATTCGAGCCAGCTGTGGGACCATGGCTCCAGCACTCCAATATACCAGATTGTGCGGTTTGAAAGGGAAACAAGGCGAAGTTTGTATGCCCTTTCCATTATAAACGATGGTATTACAGTCTAAATATATATTGATTTGGATTTCAAATTACCTGCAATAGATATGAGTACTAAATGCAGGCATTCTGGCATGGCTAGATCAACTCGTCGGATGAGGCAGATACTGAACTATCTATGAGGTACAAAATTGCCAGGCAAACTATAATACTTTCCGCAAGGGTATATGAATATACTAAAAAATATACCGAAAAAGTCTTGGGGGGAAGTGCAAGGTGCAGAACTTGGGAAAACTTTTAGCCGTGACTCAAGTGAGGTGGGAAACTTCACTATTCAAATATTGACTGTTTTGGAATACCTTTGCAGTCCAATTAGACAAGTCCTCTTATTCGATTTTTGGATTTTTAAAAGGGGTAACATTTTTAAAATTGTCAAAAAATTTAAACTAAATATAAATGATAATTTATAAAGGTTATAAAAACAAATAAACGCATTTCGGCTTAGTTAGGATATTTAAAAAACTTCTAACTTTTGTTAGAAGAGAAAATATATATAAAAATATCTTGTATCTTAATATTTAAAGTCAATTTAAATAATATATTTTGAATAATATTTATGTATTACAATACATATTTTTGTTACCAAATATAACGAAAATTAGCTTAACTGCTTTACATTTATTTGTTATCTGTTTACCAATTTAAATATTATAAACTAAAAATGTATTTGTATTCATCAAGATTTTAAATAACTGATAACCTCACAACCTAATCAGTTTTTGGATAAGCAAAATCAGTAAAATTCAAATTATATAACAAAATTAAATTCAACTCAATTTAAATTTATTTAAATAAATTAATAAATTCCCAGAAGGTACAAAGTGCTGCTATCTTATATATTTTATAGTTTTATGACTCGAAAGCAATTTATACAGACCCCAACCATCCGTGGAACAAACATGCATCCGACTTTCCCAACACACACAATGTGCAGTGGGAAATCGTTGTCGCGAGCGGTATTGGTCAGCGAAGTGTGAAATGTCAACCAGATGCAGATCCGCCATTCCGGGTGGCTCGACACACCCAAAACAGATTCTGGACTGCACTCAGTCTACTCAGAAAAAAAGGGGTGTACTTGACCAGGCCTTTAAGTGTGTCAAATCGTCGACTTTTGGATATTCCACGATTTGTAGTCCCCGGAGTAGAGATTATTTTTTATTTCATTGACTACTTCCATTCACTTTGCCAGTTAAATATTCGTATATAATATTTCAGTTCTAGAGTATCTCAATTTATTCCCGTGCAGATGGAGTTGGGGAGCCCATTCTTGCGGTTGACTGCTCCAATGGAATGACCAACAAAGCGGCCAGCACAATGGGCTTTAGAGTTCAACTCACCATGTCGCCGCTTCATTGTGCCCCCAAGTGCCCTACCTGTGGATAGCGTTTTGCAGCGATTAGTGAGGCAGTTCCACCTGGTGCTCCGACGGGATCGGTTGTACTACGTTGCCAAAATCCATCAGCACCATGTCCAAGGACAAGTTCACAGTCACAGCGATGCTGCTGCTTCTGCTGGCGACCTGCGCGTCTGCAGAACCGAGCTTCGAGGATATCGATCGCAGTTCGAACCTGGGAGCTGAGGATGTGCCGACCGCAGGATCCCAACTGGATCCATCTAAGCCACAGCTGTTAAAGTTCCAGAAGGCACTCGGCGGATACTCGGACTACGAGTACTACCTGGGTCCACGGCGCATGGGGGGTTCCTATGGTCCGGATAACGATCTCGGCGCACCCACTTCAGCTCTCAAGATCCATGGCGAAGGCAACTTGGCGTCCCTGAATCGGCCGGTCAATGGCAACGCCCACAAGCCGGTGTCCTGGTATGGAGTATACTCCGACAAGCCCATGTACCCCTCCAGATCGTACGATCCCTATATCCGCCGCTACGACAGGTAAACAGTTTAATTCTTCAACTGGAATCTATAGATTCTCCAACAGGGGGATGACTTGTCCCAGTGGAAATGGGCAATACAAAATCCTTGGAGTCAAGGAGCTTTAGCCCCAGGTGTTATCCTTTCAAAGTGTATTTTAGGGACCATAACAGAACCTGTCTTTTTTTGAAGTTTGCTAAATTTCTATTAGCAATTACAAAACAAACATAAGATGAGCAACGTCCATATATCTTAACCCTCTAGGCCCCAAAAGTGCCTTGAAAAAGTGTAAATGCTTCTCCTACGTTTAAATATATATTACAGATTCGATGAGCAATACCATCGCACTTATCCACAGTACTTTGAGGATATGTACATGCACCGCTCGCGCTTTGATCCGTACGATAGCTACAGCCCCCGAGTGCCGCAGTATCCGGATCCGTATGTCATGTATCCCGACCGATATCTGGACACACCGGCCGCCCGGGATTATGTGAAATCGCGTCGCGCTTATATCGATGATCCCATGGCTCTGCCCGATTCGTATAGGAACAGCAAGTACGAATCCGCGAAGCTGCCAGACCTGGCGCCGCCTCCGGTGCGGAACGAACGGATCGTCTACTATGCCCATCTGCCGGAGATTGTGCGGACACCGTATGACATGGCCCGTCCGGAGGAGCGCAACTCGGCCGCCATGACGATGGCGAATGCTCCCTACAAGCCGAACAAGAAGAAAGTCAAGACCAGTGCTAACAGGACCAACAATGCTACAAACTATAAGATATCATTGTAGTAGAAATTTAGAAATTAATTCTTATTATTTTTTTTTTTTTACCAATACAGTTGGAATATATAGGGTAAGGCACACAGAGGTTGGGTTAGTTCTTATTGTCTCACATAGTATATTCCATATCCTGTCATTAAATACCTTTTTGTGGATATATTCTATCATACCAATGACCAAATACTTGTACCTTTAATATTTAAATAAGAATTCAAATGAATAATCTTTTCTTTTTTAAAGTTATGGCTATCTTACCCTTTTTTAATCACAGCCATCAACGGACTTTGGGCATTTTGGATAACAACTTAAACTTTAAATTAATGTTTTTAATGAATTACATTTCTTTTTGTTAGCTTTAAAGCATAGTTTTATTCGTTTATTAAAAATAAAATACTCTCTTTTAAAATGGCCTAATGAATACAAAACAATGTTAATTTAAATTTGGAAATTCTCCGGCAAAACTGAAGCATAGTTCAGAAAACATTAACATATGTATAGGTACATAGATGCAATGCATGGGAATTTGTAATGGATATTTGTAGTTTCGTCGAAATCCGCAGCTAGGATGTTTCATCGGCTGGAACTCCCCAGAGTCTCGTTAATTACGCAACGCCATTACTTTGACTTTCACCAGGAATAGGAGTTGGACTTGGGGATATTAAAGTTTGCGATTTCTGCAATTTAACTTTCTCGCTGGCTGTGCAAGAAACAAGGGCACTCGTAATTATGTGCACACATCCAACATATGCGGGTGCTTCTATGTGGCAGCCGTTGTGGACCTTCTCCACGAGGCCATTCATCCTGGAGCTTTATGTGTGATTGGGCTCTGGCTCTCCTCCACATCGTTGTGACACAGGACCAGAGCAGGACAAGGCAGCGGAGGAGCTATTATGGAGTCCAACGCCAGCGACAAGAAATACTTCAGTAATGCATGGACACGTACGGCTAATTAATGTGTTTTTTGTTTGGTACATTTGTCAGAGCGACTTGAGAGATGTAATTACCAATGTCATGAAGCTTGTACCGGACGAAAATGTCATACTATTCTACATAGTGATGATGGGTAATGTCTAGTTATCGAAGCTATATTTTTAAATATCTGAAAAGAAAGCTAGAATGGTCCGTAGAGGGTTTATCTGTTTGAAAAGCAAACTAAAACTACAGGAAAATGTAGACCAGATAAAAGCAAATGTCGGTATATCGATACTGTTTTTTTTTTTTTCGATATGTTTACTTTGTAATGTGCGATAAATCAATAGTTAGATATATCGAAAAAAGGTAATATATAATTAAAGAATACATTTTTATATATTTTATATATCATATTATATTTTAACGTAAAAGCTATTTCAAAATATAAAATGTATATCAATTAAAGTTTGCGATATTTTGTCGAAATATTATATCGGACTTCTCCACTCTATTTAACTCTCTAATATGTATACACTATATATTTAAAGAGTATTCACTAAGCGACGCAACAGGAAGCGACTTCTCTTTGGCTATTTTACGAGCTGTGCTTCGGTTGTCCTTTCTCTTTGGCATTTCCGTGTTATTACTCACAACTTGACACAGGCATTTTCACAGGTCACAGCCACGCTCACATGAACACACACATCCTTGGACTTGGGCTCGACAGATCCGGCAATTGCCTTGTGGGACATTTTGCATGACGATGCGAAGGTCCTGCGACGGAATGAGTGGGTGGGTGGCAACCTAATGAACGCGTTCCGCCCAGCCAATGAACGGAAATGGGCGAGAGACACACAACGACAGGAGCTACAGCAGATGTTAAGAAAATAGAAACACCACTAATCTAGGGTCTTGGCAAGGAAAATATAAAGTATTGGAATTGTTTAGGGAGCTCTATAGCAGCTTTTTAGGGTTCGAGAATTCTAGATCTGCCTGCCTGTAACCTTTTGGCTGATTCCTTTCGTAATACGAAATTCGTATCTTCTACAAATAGAATTGTTTCTATTTGTCTCTAGTTGAAAACTTTGATTTGTCCATTCAAATTCTTGCGCGTTACGCATCTTACTCTCTGTTATCACTAAGTTATTGACCTCGTCTGTGGTTAGCCATACAACAAAGCAATTTGTCTGCTCTCTGCGGATCCCGGGTTCGGTTCCGCAAGAAAAACAATAACAATGATGCACGCGATACTTAACAAACTTTTGCGCTGGGCGGCTTCATAATTAGAATCATTGAAATAGCCATTCAGCGTTCATTTGCCCTGACAGCAATCCTGGATGCTCCGGCCAAATTGTCCCTGCACCTTGGGGTCCACTCCGGTGGATGGCTGAATGGCACGACATACTCGCATGTCCGCCCCCCGAATCCGGAATCCAGAATCCAGAATCCTGGACAAGGGCTGGCTGGAGGTGTTGTGGCAAATGAGAAAACAATGCTCGAATAACGACTCTCCGATGTGCATTAAAAGATTTATTTCTTTGCGAATAAATGAAGTTTTTCTTTATGGGCCCGTCTCGCTAGCCTTTCCACATCGTTGCTGCTTCCGCCATCCGCTATCCGGCATCCGTGGCAGTCGCATATTCGCATCGGTATCCGGGTCGACGTCGACTCACCTCATGGAGTAGGCGTATATTGATGGGACATAAAGTACGGACACGGGGCCTTGGACCCGGACCAAAAGCCAGAGAAGGAGCAATGCTTTTGCAGAGTGTTTTCTGCGTAATCGCCGGGTAGTAGTTAAATTCGCCCTAGTTACTTTGGCGGGGAGTGGCCGTAATGCCTTTGGTCCACCCACATACATATCAACAAATCACCGCAAATTTATTTGTCTGCACCGAGCAGACATGCACGTGCAGTAATTAGGGAAAGAAACAATGAGGACGCGGAGGTCCTTAAAAGTTCCAGTCCCTATTAGAGTGTCAACGCTGGAGTATCCCGTTCCAGGACTTTTATTGATGGAGCAACGTTAAATAGTCAAGGGATATGGTTTATATGTACATATAGTACTTGGTAATCACAGGTGCTGATGGTGAAACAAGCCATTTCAGATGATGGGGTAACTTGTTCCTTGCTTTTGTTTGGTACTGAAATAACATTCACTTCTGAGATCTGCTAGGAAGAGTGTCCTAATACACAATATGTTTTCAAAGCCTCATAATGTTAATTTCATCATTTCGCAACTTCTTAAAATATATTCTTTTAAAAATCTGATTAATAATGATGATGATGATTAATAGATAATAATGATTTCCACTGAATTTGGTCCTTAAAAAAAGTATTTCATACTATTATTAAGTGTTTTAGTTACTCAGTTGCTCACTTTCCCAATTGCTCACTTGCTTAGATGTTCTTTTCCTTGGCCTTTCACCTGCTCTAGTTCCTCACTGATCTGTTCCTGTACTCCTTGTGGCTCATTAATATTTTCCGCATGATGAATTTATCCTTGGGGCAAGGCCAAGGCAGTCAAAGATAATCCTTCTCGTTGGGCTTTATATCTGCTGCGATGAATAACTACTCAATTATTCGTATTTGTAGTTACCAGCTAGGCGGCAGCCGTCTGTCCTAAAAACAATGTCTTGGCATACATAAATGGTCAGGACCTCTGATTCCGTGTGGATTCGATAGGGAGGAAGTTCGTGCGGTGGGCAAATGCAAAACCTATAAATCTTTATCCAGTCCGCATTATTGATTGGGCCAGAACAGGGCTGGGACACGCAAATGGACATATGTTGGGCGATATTACGAATATTCATGCAGGGAAACGGACAATAATGTCAAATGTGCGGGGCGTGCTGTGGCCATCGCACCACACCACACCACACCACACCCTAGTATACCAGAGATGGGAGATTTGCCACCCTAGGAAGCAACTTGCTCGACCAGGCCAGACCAGGCCAGACCAGGCCGTCCAATAATAGGATAAATAAATAATTCAAATAAATAACGCTGAAATAAAATCAAATGCAATGACGAATTATGATGGTAAGGATGTGGCAGAGTGCCTTGTTGTTTGGTCTTGTGTCACGAATGATTGGGGAGCTCGTAAATCACCGACAACAGGGCAGATCGCACCCCTTGGGCCCTGATTAGAGGCAGAGAGAAAGGACGAAGGACACGATAGATAGGAGGAGAGGAGTAGAGCCACCGTCTGTCTCCCTCCTCTTGGGCCACTCAAGTGTCAAGTGCCAAGGGCATTCAGAATAAACAATACGAGCATACATATACATATGCATGTACAAGGATATGTATCTTGTATCCCTCTGTTTTGTCATAAATATTAAACGAACTTATCTTTCTCCCGGCGAACGACGAAAAAATTTATCATTTGCCTGAAGTTTGTTAATTATTTATGTTGTTGCCCATGCCTCATATTTGGCTCTTCTGCAACTGTGATTTATGTCCCAAAACTATCCCAACAGCAGACAAGCTTGGACTTGCTTTACATGTGACATTTCCTGACATGTCCTGGCTGCCGTCCTCTGTTACATGCACCTACATGCTCACATATGTACATACATATATCCCTTGTGAAAACTGATTTATTGCTAAGCCATTTCTCCAGTTGAGCGTTCCATTCCATTTCGTTTCATTAACCAAGGGTGTTTTTTCTCTCGAAATTGGAGTCCTTTTCGATAAATAATTAAGTATTGGTCATATTTTGGACTGGACATTGCCATATAATTAATTGTTTTGTTCTATTCCGGTCCGTCTCCGAGTCGTTAGTCAGATTCGATTCGGTTTTGGGTCTCCGATCCCGAGATCCCTGTGTGAAGTGCAATAAAGTCGAATTTAATTGCCCGTTTGAAATGAGCAAACTTAATGGACAATGACTCATTAACACTGACACGTCAGAGAATAATGGCGTGTCTGGCGATGTTTGCCGAAAAAGGCAAGCGGAAAGGCGGAAATTGAAATAACGCTTCCTGCGAAAATGGGACGATTGGAGCTGGCGATGGCGATGGCGACGCACCATGAAACACGTCCATGTCCATGACAAAAGCTCGCCTCGCACATTGGCACATCAAAAGAATGGCACACACACACACAACACACCTCCAACCCCCCCGAAACATACTGGGCACAAAAAAAAAAAGCAATTAAGGACGTTGAAAGCAATCTTAAGCGCTGCTGACGGTGACAGTAAGAACGAGGGAAGAACGCGAGGGGAGAGCGATCCATGTGAACTCTGATGTCTGCCAAGTGGAAGCCCTCGAGGATGTGACATGAAATGCTTATCAGCTGGCACAGGCACAGCCGGGAGACACTTGGAAAAATATCGTCGACTAACCTTGACAAGGAACTATGTAC